TATATAATACATTCGAAGAATAAATGTTTATAATGTGAGTAATAACAATTGTTTGAATAAAGAGAAAGAAGAAATTATGATAAATGTACAAATTCAAAAGTGTTAACATAAAAATTAACATTAATGCATAAAAGCTGAACAAAGTTATGAATTATCTTATCCCTTTCTTTTTAATATTCTCATTTTTTCTTTCTTCTTCTTCTTTCATTGACATAACCGTAGTTTATGGGGAAAAAGTAAGGAATAATTTATCTTACCTTTTCTTTTTATTTTGTATCAAAAAACATAACCATGCCTAAGTCGTTCGTTACTTCTGTACGTGTGCTTGTGTCTCAGTAAAAAAAAAAAAAAACGAAAAGAAAAAGAACAAAAAAAAGGGAAAAAAAGAAACTTCGTTACCTGTCCTCCCAACGTTACCACATTTGCATGTAAATGTGGTTCTCTTTCTTTCTCTTCTTTCTCTTCTTTCACCCACGACCATCATCATCATCCAACAACGACTACAACGATAAAAAATAATTCACCTACCCGTCCCAAGGACAACGACAACGACGGTCCTGAAATTTCCTATAAAACTTTGCAGTCGAATGTTCTTCTTTTTTTTAAATTCATCGATTAAATCCAATTTCGTTGTTGCGATTAGCATTTTAATCGTTCCCTGTGTCACCTACGTACTATTCCAATGTTCTTTTATAATTTATGGAAACATAAAACAACAAAGAATAGAATATAATGTCAGAGAAAGAAAGCTTGAGAAACAAAATTTATGCTGTATATGTATATGTATGTGTGTTCGTATGTGCATATGTTGAATAAAAATCTCGTATAATATATGAATCGCATAAACAAGTATATCTTTTTTTGTTTTTTTATTTGTTTTTTTTGAGGTTATGCTTCTTTTGGCGCGTTTTGGAAAGTGAAGTTAAATGCAACCGAAAAATCGACACCACGAAGTTGTCGATATTTACAATGCGCGGGAAAATTGAAGTTTTTGAGGTTATATTCGTTTTGGTAAAGAAGTATAACTTCTTACGTGTGTACATAAGTACACACATCAGTTTTTTTGTTTGTTGAAAGACATTCTGTCGGGTAATAAATACTTTTGAAATAATTAATACTTTATATGCAAATATAATAATGTTGTAATTATAACACGTATTGAATCGTTACGTTAGTTATTACAACATTTTATTGGACGATAAGTAATATCGGAATTTTCAGTATTTTTATTTATGTAAATAAATAATAATGAGAAATTTTATTATTGTTCGATCAATTTACAGAATAATATTTGTAATCAAAAATGTGATTATATAAAATGCAATATTGTAAAATGATTTATCGAGTTTGTCATAAAACCAATTGAGGTTATGTTCATTTTTTGATATTCTCTGATATTCGTAAATTTTATTCGAAAACGAATAATATTGTTTTTTAAATAATAAAAAAACATACTCGTTGTGCATTTTCAATTATCAATAATTAAAAATCATCAAGTTTTCATAAGATTCTATTTCATTGTTCTAATAAATACTTACGATTAGGATTGAAAACAAATGAAAAAACTTTATATAGAATTTTCTGATGAAATGAAAAAGATCATTCCTATTAATAAAATTATCAATTATCATTACTTTTGTTTTCGGTTTATGAATGATTATTAATAAATTGGTAAATTGATAAATAAGTTCAACAGAGAAAGTATCGATTATAAATAGAAATATAATAATTTTAGTTTATTAAAGAAACATGAATTTGTAAATAGATCCTGTAACAACTTAGTCAGGTCATCCAATTAGTTTGCACAGAATATTCCTGGAACCGGAAATTACAATGTACTGTCAGGAACAGTCACAAAACGAGGCAAAATGAAAAGCTTGGTTGCTTGCATGCTTGCTAGGCTTTCCTAGATAGAATGGGAACCCCTTGCTAGATATATTCTACTAAATATTCTAAACAATAAGAGAAAAAAGAGAGAGAGAGATGTAACAGAGTAATACGTAAAAAAAAAAAAAAAGTAAAAAGGAAAAAATAGTTAGCGAGAATAGGAATCCATAAAATAGTAAAAACAAAAAATGAAACTAAAACTTTCACGAATACAATTTTTTAATCTATATCTTTAATCATTTGTTACAGAATCTGAAGAATCAGATCATGACGACGAATCTTTGGGTGGAACAGGTAAGAGATAATTATTAAAAAAAAAAAATTAATTAAAACAATTAATAATAATATAATAATATATATATATATTTTATATTATTATTTTCAAATTTTGTTAATTTCAAAAAAATTGAAATAACTTTCGATATTAATCATTTTAAACTAATTTATGTTTATCAATAAAACGATTAATTATCGAACTGGTGTTTTAAATTAGATCAACGTTTTTATTGAAACAAAAAGAAAAAGAAGAAGTATAAGAAAATATCGTGGATCAAGAAGGATAACAAAAATGAATTTAAAAAAGTGCATTGGTGAAACGGCGAAGGGGTAGGGGGGGGGGGTAATAAGAAAGAAAATACTATCGTGAACTACTAACATCGGCAAATATAATTGAAGAATAATTAAGCTAAACCAATTAACGTTCCAATCCCGACCAACTAACCCCTCAGCCCCCCTTACCCCCCTCCCTGTTTGTTCGTTCATTCCTTCGTGACATAATGAAGCTAACAGGAAAAGCTCTTGCAAGTACTTTCAAACAAAGTCGAATTTTGCAAAGCTCTTGAAACGCATGCAGCTTCTCGTAATTACCATCCCCCGCTTGAAGATCTAGTTAGTTGTGAAACTAAAGATCATTATCATTCGTGTCCTTCGTTGATAATAGAAAGAGAGAGAAAGAGAGAGAAGAGATTGTTTTTTTTTTTATTAAAACAACTAATAACACAAAACAACGCAATTACGATTGAATAAAAATAAAAGTATGTTAGATGAAGTATAACTATATATTGTATGAGTTTAGAAATGGGTTGAAGTATGCACGTGTGTATGTTTTATTCAAATTTAGGTCAATGATCTTTAATTGGGAGAGAGAAACTCGAATGACCCAGATAAATACATTTTTTTAATATTTTCCTCGAATTATTCTAGTGTCGTGTATAGTTGTGTTTGTTTAGCAAAGTTCGATCGTAAATCACATAGAACTTCTTATTAATATTTTGTAAAATTATTCGTACGCGGTTTCATAACTTCCACGAATTTATCTCAATTTTTAGGTTAATCGTATTATACTATATCGTATTTTATCATACTGTACACGTATTAACTTTTCTATATATAGTATAGTATAATTATTATTTTATATTAAACATTAGATTTACGAATATTCAACCAATTTGATTCTCATTTTTCAAATTTTATTATTTTAATATTGTTATTATATATATATATATATATATAATATTATTTTATTTAAATTATTTTTTTTGTAGAGATTATATTGAAGTAATGAAAAAGAAATATAATACTATACTATACTATACTATATTATACTATACTGTAAAATGTCGACAAAATTGTATTTTTAAACGTAAAAACTTGTAATTAAAACGTCGTTCCTTTTCAAACTTGCTTTTGACAAGAAACGAAAAGAATTTAAAGAAAAAAAAAACATTGAAACAAGAAAAAGAGAAAAATTAAGTGAGAAAAAGAGAAAAAGAGAGAGAGAGAGAGAGTGTGTGTGTACGAGAGAGAGAGAGAGTAGATACGAAATTGGAATCCTTTCGTTGTGAGTTAAACTAAACTACTTCTCCTCATCCTAGGAACCTTTAACGTTTCTCTTTCATCTTTGGGAATGTTATCGCTTGCCCCTAACTCTTTCCTCCCTTTTACCCACCCCCTTCTCACCCTCTTTCACCGTCTCTCACTCCTATTCGTTAAATCTACGTTTCCAGGAAACAGCAAATGTGATATTTCTCGTAAAAACTAGGATTTCATCCTACCATCGGATAAATACTACTGGTAACAGTAATACTACTAATGATAGTAGTAGTAGTAGTACTAGTTGTGATAGTAGTAGTAATAGTAATCGTCGACGTTTTAAAGAGACGAACTTTGAGCTCGGCTTTTCCGACGAATCAGCATTTCTTAATCCCTCAGAGTGAGTTTCTGAATCACCACTACTACTACCACCATCAAAAACCACCACCACTACCACCACCATCATAATCACCACTGACGAGAGTATCGGCTCGTGATCTTTTTCCTATGCTTGACACAAAAGTGCAGAAGAACTGGAAGGGGTGGTTAGGGAAAGGGGAAGGGAGGGGAGGGTGGTAGTAATCAGGGTGTTGTAAAAGAGAGGTTGATGAACGATTCGTCATTAAATCACGATTCACTACGGTTTAACGTTTGGATAAGTTTTATAGTCGGGGTTGAGATAAAAAGAAATAAAAAAAAAGAAAAAATAGAAAGATAGAAAGATGATAGAAATAGAATAGGAAAGAACGAATGAACAATAAGCAAGTAATTTATGTAATTCACTTTGTAAACATCGGTATAATATTTGATCATTATCTTTATTTTTTAACATAAGACAAAAGGAATAGAAGTAATTTGAGTCATAAACAAATAATGTGATATATCATATTA